CAAACAAACAAACAAATAAAATTATGTAGATAGCTTAACAATTGTTGGATATGGCCATAAAAATTAATATTGGAATAATTGGAGGAATTTTAGAATTATATTTTTATGACATGAGTTCCAAATACAGCTTAAAATGCCTWATTTACTGTGAAACACTAACATATGCTAAGTTCTCTGTTTTGTAAGCAAATAATATGGTACTTTTTTAGATGTGCATTTCATTTAACCTTCATGAAACACAAATCTATGCAGTATTTTTAAAGTGCTATGATAAATGTAYGTGCCAGACTTGCATGAGCATGTAAGAATTAATTGCCCACTATGTAGCTGTAAATCCAGAAATTGTTATAAAAGTTGTTTTTAAATGGCATCATATTCAGCAGAAAATCTTCATAGAGTAAGTAATAACAGATTCATTACCCCTCTCTTATTTTCAGGACAGTGGTTTTGCATCAGCATATAGGCTATTCAGCCCATGATGTTTTTCTTTTGCAGTGCTAGGTAACAAACCCAGGGCATTGCACAGGCTAAGCTAATGATGTACTCTGAGCAATACCTGCAGCCTTCAGCCCAAAGCCCAACAAATAAAAGACTTATTTGTTGTTTAATAAATTCTTAACCTTTACAATTCAGACATATTCTTATGTAGTAAAAATACCTTTTTAAATACTTCCAAAGAAGTTACAAATCAGACAAGCACATATGGTGCTTCTTTTTTTTTTAACAGAAATAACGAGAAAGTTATGTATATTAAAATAGCTATGAAAATTGGTAATTTTAGGTTTCCTGAGTGTGATATTCTTTTCTCATAGGATGCTTTCTATATTCAAAAGATTATAATAGTTATTTTTGAAAATGTTCTCAAGAAAAATTTTGATATAGGTGGGTGTGGTGGCAGATGCCTGAAATTCCAGTGGCAGGAGGCTGAGGCAGGAGGATTGCAAGTTCAAAGCTACCCTGAGCAACTTAGCAAGATCCTGTCTCAAAATTTAAAAAATTAAAAAAATAAAGATCTGAGGATGTGGCTCAGTGGTTAAGTGCCCCTGGATTTAATCCCCAATAGCAAATGAAAAAAACAAAACAAAACAAAAAAACAATAATCTTTTTGACCCAAGTGTTCTACCCATGGTGTTTATTGAAAATGACTTTATAATTGATACTTTCTGATTTTTATCTTTTCTGGTCTTTCTTTGGTGCATGGCTCTATTTATTGACTGCTTCTGCTTCTGGAGGAAATTGTCCCCTTTCTCCTTTCATCACGTCTGTGCCATTTCTCACTATGGTTTTCCCTTTTTTCCTTGACTGTTCCTTTTAAGGATGCTTTTGTTAAAAGATCTTTCCTTTTCACTCACACTTGAAATGTTTCTTGGTATTCCTCAAGTACATGGTGATTCTTTTACTTCCACCGGTTGAAATCTATAAGGTTGGCAAAAATCAAATGCTTACAGGACTGAGTAATGTAAATAGATTAAATAGATGAAGAGATYTGGTGGTTTTTGTTTTGTTTTGTTTTGTTTAGCTTTTAAAGTATAGGAAGTAGATGAGGATTTCTAAAACTAAAAAGAACATGGCTCATCCAGAACTGTTCCTCTTAATGTTGGCTTCAGTTGATATGAGAGCCATGTGCATGTCCAAATACTGATACCATGTTTACTATGTGCCTGGGATGTAGGTACTAGGGAGAAGACAACTCTCCTGGAGCCCACAGCAGCTTTGGAAATGGACCCTCATGGAGTCACACTAAAGCTAAAGATGCTCACTTATTCTTTTCTTTTCTTTTTCTCTTGTTTTTTTTTTTTTTGTTGTTGTTATTGGGGATTGAACCCAGAGGTGCTTTATCATTGAGCTATATCCTCAGCCTTTTTTATTTTTATTTTTGAGACAGTGTCTACATACTCAATCGTACCAGATCACCAAAAAAAAAAAAAAAAAAGTCAGAAATCCAGATTTTCTGTTCAGTGCTACTTTTTAATCTCCTTATTTTATTTTATTTTATTTTTTTTAGAGAAACATAGGGCCTATTAAAACTGTGTTCCCTCTTTTGTTAGGTTGATTTAAAAAAGGAAGTTCCTAAAATCTTACTCCAAAATACCAAGGACTGCTCACCTATGCCTGTTTTCACAGCATGATCTCCATTCTCTTCTTTGTTTCCCACCCTCTATTCATGACTGACCATGCTTGGAGCCTCTGTTCTTATATTACATCTTAGGTATTAGACTTCTTGCTAAAATGCATTTCCATTTCCCTCCCTTGCCACCCTTGGTCAGTCAATATTCTTTGACAGCCCAGATGTCAAGGCCTTAGTAAATTGACCCCAATTTCATTGTATAAAGTTACTCTTACTCTTCCAGTATTCCTCAGTATCCTTCAGTAGAGTTCTTATCAATGTGGTTTGTGGACCCGGAACCCAGTGAAGCTGCGGTTTCATCTTTGTATCCTGAGAATCCCAGCTCAACATTTTATACCTAAACAATGCTTCATAAACACCTATAGAAATAGTGGAAACCTGAGTCAGATTTACCTCCCAACAAACAGATAGTCTTGAACAGAAGCTTTGTTTCCCAGGTGGACAGTCTTGGTGTGAAAATTTCCTTTTGTTGAAAACGATAATTACCAAATTTTGAACTAATTACACTTGAAATATTTTTAGATCTGTTTCACTCAACTCCCTTTACTCCTCCCTCTCCACCTCTTCACCTCTCCCACACCCTCACACCCAAACTGCTGCAGTGGGTGTAAAGAATGACTTATGCATTTGTAATGTATGACCCTGGACTTGTCATGATAGAGCACAAACATTCCCGCTCCTTTATTTTTGAGTTTTCTTAAAAGAGGTGTCAGGGGAGTAAGAAGGATGCAGACTAGGAATGGATATAACTTTATTGACTGGTAACTTGGTGCCAACAATGTTTTCAAAACCATGAAAGTACTGTGAGTTGGATAGCAGTGTCCTCAATTTACTGATGTGGAAAGTGAGGTTAATTTACTTGTCATAAGAGAGTTCTGGATAATTTCTGAGGAGGAAGATTTATAGCTGTAATTGGTTTGTTGTATATTCTGTTTGTTTTCAACAATTTTTTTTCTTCTTTGAATTCAATGCTATTTAAAATAAATTAGTTTTGGTTATCTGGTATCTCCTGAATTTAAACTAAACTAAAAAAAAAAAAAAAAACCCAGTCATTTTAAATTAATGTCAGACTTCCCTTTTAACAGAATTTCTGGACTCTCCTGTTTAGCATTCTGAAATGCAATTCATAGATGCCATCATCTATTTGTATGTGCAGTTCTTTGAAAAATAAATATAATGTTGGAGCTGGGGCTGGGGGTCAGTGGTAGTGCACTTGCCTAGCATATGTGAAGCACTGGGTTCATTCTCAGAACCACATATAAATTAAAAAAAAAAAAAAGGTTTATCAACAACTGAAAAACCATAAATAAATAAATAAATAGATATAATGTCCTGAGTATTATATAAACATGAAATAATAGCAAAATAATTTATACTGAAACATGTATTCTAATACACACATACGTATTAATAGTTACACAAGAAAATAAAATAAATGGTCAGATGTTTGCATCTTTTAAGTAGACTTATTTTAAATTTTGACTGCTGTAGATATAGATTAATAATAGATTTAACTGGGAACAGTGGTGGACACCTGTAATCATAGCAGCTCAGGAGGTTGAGGCAGGAGGATGGTGAGTTCAAAGCCAGCTCAGCAACTTAGGGAGGTCCTAAGCAACTCAGACAGATCCTGTCTCTTAATAAAATATTTTTAAAAGGGGCTGGGGATTAAGTTCAGTGGTTAAGCACCCATAGTTTYATTTCCTGGTACCAAAAAAATAAAAATAAAAATAAAAGATTTAATTGTCTTTGTCTTAATTGTGATGCAGATATGATAAGTAGTGTTCCTATTGGTGACATGTCTTTCCAAAGTAGTAACTAACTCTTGGCAGAGTTCCAAGCAAAATGCGAAAATCTTTCCTCCATTAATTTGAAATTTGATTTTCTATTTCTAGAAAATTTTGCTTAAACTAAAAAGTATATAAAAYATATGTATTTATACATAAAGTAGGTTAGGTTCCACACTCAGATGCATGATAGCAAAAACTTTGCCTCAATGACATATCCAGTGAAATATTTTATAGGTGTTGGGAACATAGGGCAATATTTATCATCAAGATTTTCTGGTATTAAGAATTTCTGAATCTAGTCCAGTATACTTTACTCATTCCCTTTTTTACCCCCAGTCATTGAGAAAACTTAAAAGTTCCTATTGATTTTTGAGGTTTTCTCTCATGGGGTAGTATTGTTCTAACTATCTCTTCCAAATCAAAGTTGCCATTTGTTTAGAAGAAATAATCATTTCTTACTAGTGCCAAGTAAAACAGAAATATATAAGAATTGATTCCTTTGTTTAAGGATTTAATAGCCTAAGAAGATATTTAATATTAAAAATCTGTGTTTATCAAAATATATGTGATCTGAGAAGACCCAGGAAGATCATGCAGAGGAGGTAGTGTTCAAAGTGCATATGAAGCAGGTRTACTGGAGTGGCGTTAGAATAGTTGACATCTCAGATGAGGAAACAAAGCCAAGGAGTGTGGTACAAATGGAAGAGTTATTGCTAGGAACCAATGGGCAACAATAATAGGAACTAAGACCGGAGTAAGATCATCCTATCCAAATGGAAATTAAATTGAATAATTTAGGAATCAAATGTCAAATGTAGTTCTTACAAAAATATAAGTTTACAATAACTAGTAACTTTGGAATTTGTTAATAGCAAAACTGGAAGACTTTGAAAAGAAGACTCGTTTCTTCAATTTGGATCTCATTTTCAGTGTATATCCTCTTTAAAATATTTAATTATATCTCATTTAATTATAACTCATTTCTAAGGTCAATAGAGTCATTGAATCTATAGACACAGAATATGATTTATCAAAATAAGAAAACATGACTTTCAGTTCCTTCTACCTTTGTCTCTTTACAGGTATGATTTTGTAGAAGTTGAAGAACCCAGTGATGGAACTGTATTAGGGCGCTGGTGTGGTTCTGGTCCTGTACCAGGAAAACAGATTTCCAAAGGAAATCAAATCAGAATAAGATTTGTATCTGATGAGTATTTTCCTTCTGAACCCGGATTCTGCATCCACTACAACATTGTTATGCCAGTAAGTGCCACTTTAAGATCCCCTTATTTAAATGAGTCAGCTCTTTGTTTACTTGATTTCTCCTTTTAAATATGAGAATCAGAAAACCAAAACCAAAAATCCTTTCCCCAGCTTGGACTTCCCTCCGTTAAATGTCACTGTCTTTATCACAGATAACTTAAGTATTGCCACTATAGCACATTAGCAGTGTTAAAATGCCTTATCATTGTAATTTAATATTTGTTTTTGCATTTATAGAATTATAGTCTGCCCCTCACCCTCCAGCTCTGCTCTCACCCCCCAGCTCATTGACTGGTATTTCAACATTGTTGGAAGTACGTAGGGATTTTCTGTTCAGAAAAATAGAGAAATTTGCATTATACATTACTCACTTGGAAATCACCGTAAAATTTTTTCTCTGTAATGTCTTTTCGAGTTAATTTCTAGTTTAAGTCTATTAAATAATAAAATACAATTTTAGTTTTCTGGCATTTTTCATGACTTGTTATATGACATTTTTTAGCATTTAACTAAATATTCTTATGTTAAAGTTTCAATTTTTGAAGGATGCTAGGTACTCTGGTGCTCTTATTTTCAAATCCATGTATTGATTTTGGAACGAGTATATTGTAGAGCTAGAAAACCAGCACTATTTGAGATTAATAGCACTAAATAGTTGTGTTTGCCTTAAAATTCCATGCTTTTATGCGATTTTCTACTTTTTTTTTTACATTAAAGCATTATCATTTCTTTCTGTACCAACCAAAAAGTTTAATATTTAGTTTGTTGTTTATAAATATGATCTGTTTCTTTTGGTGTTTTCTTAGAGAAAAGCAAATTTATTAAATATTAATTTTTTTCAAATCAATGCAAAAATGAAATATATTTTTAAATATAATTATCCCTGCTTTCCTACTTAATATTTATTGTGTTAAAATAATATTTATGCCCCATTGTTTCCCCCAAAAAAGGAATTTTAAAAATTCTCACTAGAATTTAAGAAATATTTCTAATATTTTGTCTAATTATAATTGTGCATTGTATAATAATTGCAATGCTCTTGTATTTTGTGTATGATTTTGAATATTTGTATGTGTTTGATGCACTACAACAAAAATGTTGGAAATTTTTTGATTGTATCCTGTGCCTAAATAAGCTATCCAGACATTCCTATAAAGATATATTAATATTGTAGTGTACCTTTAATAATCATCAGTAATATCACAATTTAAAAGAATCTAAAAACTTGATATCTTTAATGGTTTTGACAGAATATTTAATATATTAGTAGGCACACTGAGAACACAACAAAGTGTAGGCTGCTTTTATTACAATGTATACTCTTACTGGGTATAAAAACACTTAACATGTGCTAGTGACTCATGAGTCAAATTAGAAAATATGGAATCAATATTTGAATTTGTGTCTTACATTGTTAAGCTACAATTTCTCATTTTGATTGCCCACAGTGGAATTTTACATATTCATTGAGCAAAGAACTAAGAATAAATAATAAAACAAACTGGAGTTTGAGAAACATAATTTGTTTATTTATTATGAATAGAATCCTTTATTATATATTATTGCTGATAAAGGAAATAGCTCTGAAATATTATAAATTAATGCTATGAATTTTGATCCATTTTCTTTATAGATTATTAAGATATCCAGATCATGCCATTCTAAAATTCTTTTTGCTATCATAGATTCTTTATCATTTTCTTTGTTACTTTCCAGAAATTTTCTTAATAATTTAATATTTTGAAATTTAAATGTAATAAAATTTAATAATTTTACCTAAAATGAAAATTATTAAGAATAGATTATTTTAAAAACAGTATTGATGAGTAATACATATTCTTTGTTTTTTCATGTGTGTTTGTGTGTGTGTGTGTGTGTTTGTGTGTATGTGTCTGGGGATTGAACACAGGTCCTTGTGCATGGTAGGCAGACACTCTTCCACTGAACCACATCCCCAGCCAAAAAGTAATACTTTTTTTTTTTTTTTTTGTACCAGAGATTCAACTCAGGTTGCTTTACCACTAAGTCATATCCCTACCTTTTTTATTTTTTGAGGCAAGTTCTCACTAAGTTGCTTATAGCCTTGCTAATTTTCCAAGGCTGCCTTTGAACTTGAGGTCCTCCTGCCTCTGCCTCCTGAGTGGCTGGGATTACAGGTATAAACTTGGCCTGATAAGCAACATTTTGATACTGTAATTGAATAAAGCCACTAAGAATCTATTTAACATAATTGTTCAGTATCCTCCTTCACAGAATTTATAATGTTAAAATTTTCTTTTAACTGAATATGGCCTTGGGATCCTTGGCTACATTTTTACAAAGTGATATGATGTACAGTTTCAGTTTTATCTTGCCTAAGGTTGTTAAGATTTAAGTATGGAATGATTAAATTTTAGTAGAAAACATGACACTGGTTTTATGAGAGCAAAGGTTTTATTCATCCCTAATCTGTGATGAAAATAAAGTTTAAGTGTATTTGTATTATAAATTATACTCTTTGCATCATGTTAATTTAAATGTGCATACATACTCGACTATTCTGCTACAGAACAAAACGTGAAAGCTAATATATATATATATATATATATATATATATATATATATATATATATGCCACCAATAAGGGTTATCTGATTTACTGATCACATGGGTTATCTGGTTATATAACCCAACGAGTTGTGGGAATTAAACGAAATATGGAAGATTAAAAAAAATCACAAAATTTTTATGGCACCTGGCCCCAGAGAGCATATTATAGCTTTTCAATAAATACTGGAGTATGAGTCACTGCAGTTTAACTAATAAAGATTCACCAACACTTGCACTGTATATCTAAAAAATGTGTATCAGAGTCATTAACATTTTTGTGAGGCAAAGAACTACAAGGATCTACAAAATGTACCGTATGTTCTTTTTGCTAAGAAAGCCCTGCCCCAAGGATTAGACTCAGTAAGAGATTTACAGTCATCCTGAGGAGACACCACAACTGAGCGATGTAGGTCAAGTTATCACCGGTTAAGCTGCCATTAAATTAAATTCAGTAGATTTTGAAATGATCTTTGAAAGAGTTTGGTAAATGGTAAACAAGGGCTTTGGTGTGCTGTTGTCAGCTATCCTTGGATCTCTTGAGCCTTTGTTTGYGAGGCCCCTATATGGACCTGAACTGAGCTATAGATAATGGAGATACATGAAGAAATGGCATAGGAGATATTCTAAACCTTACCACCTTTGAGATGCTGGGCAGAGAGAAACGAGAGTGCTTGAAGGTGGGGTCTTGTATTTATTAATACATGTAACTTGGTGATTTTAATTTTAAAGATTGCTTTCTGGAGAAATTATTTATATGCAATCTGAACAAGCTTTGGTTCTTTTGTGGTTTAAGTTTGCTTTCTCCGCTGACTGGCCATTTCTTCACCTGTCTCTTGTCTAGATCCCATATACCCAACTCTCCTGACTTGCAGACACATCTAGTCTATACCTAATAACTGCCTAAGGAAGGGCAAGATTTGATGAGTGAAAATTTGACAAGCGATTATGCTTTTAAGCCTTGCAGAATGTTTTGAATTATCGTTGTATACTGCTAAGTGACATCCCAACCTCTATGAACCCCCCCAACACTTTGTACCAGGGCAGCAATCCATCAATCTTATCTGAGAATCAGATAAATGAAAGCCTAAAGGAAGAAAGTGTGCCTCTTAGCAGACTTAAAAGTTCTTGTGGCATTTGCTCAGGGGCAAGTGCCCCTCCAAGCCCCTGGATCATCTCCCACACTTTCGTTATTTTTTCATTCTTGCCATGGGTGAACTTTCATACTAGCACACTCAGTGTCCTAGAGGCAATGGTCCCACTGATTGCAAACCCTCTGCTCTGAAACAGAACCTCTGCCGCAGCTGACCACAATGGTTTCTTAGCTTTGTAATGATAAAACTAATATGAACCGCAAGTCTTTAGTGAATGGTTATTCTTCCTGCATAGAGGTCTGTCATGAATGCCTCACACCAGACACATTATAGCTGCTCGGGATTTCATACCCATTGAGCCATTTCTCCTTAGAGTTGTCTAAAACAAAGTAGAATCGCAATAACTTCTCCTTGACTGCATGTTACCTTTATTGCTGCTACATGGTAGAGACCATTCAGCAACAGGAAAGCTGTTGAATCACAATAATGACACCAGGTATTCTGTTATCACCAAACCATCTTCTTTATATACTAAAGAGTTGTTCTAGTATCCATTTTGTTTGTTTGTTCTTGAGGAGTGGGTTGGATGGGGACTCTCATTAAACATTCCCTATTTTACACATAAATTATTATAATAACTGTGTACTATCATCCTTACCTGCGTTTTGCAATCAGTCCAATRAATATTTTGCATCAGTTTATAAACAAAGAAAAATTTAAGTTAAACCACATTTTTTTCTAGGATGAATTACAAAGAAAGTTTATTTTAAAACTGTATTTTATAAGTAAAAAAGATAACTGTAGCCTTCCTTAGGAGCATGAATGGGTATCTGATTCTGGTCAGCCTTTAGTTCTTTGTGATTCTGATTATCATGTGTCTTAGATGCGAAGTTTTAAATATATTACTTAACAATCTCTCAGGGTTGGCACCCAAGTTGCTATTAAAAATTATGTTCGTCCTTGTAAGATAATTTGTATATACTTCTTTTCCTTCAATTAATGAAGGCATATTTTATATATAAATGTACACATATTTATTTGTATGCAAAATATATATAACAAATGTATAGGTAAACAAGTRATGGAATATTACTTTGAATAAAGTGATGCTGATACACTACTTAWGGATTTTACATGTTTTATAAATATATCATTTATAATGTTATAATTTCAACATCATTTTCTTGATTCCCAAGTCCCTTAGAATAAAACATTAGTAAAGTTTATTTCTTCCTTTTACCATGTTAATTTGGTATTATAGGCTRTTTAGTTTTTTAAATACCAGCATGAAATGTTGTAAAATATAGTAACATCTTTGCT